CATCGATCCTTGTTAACCTCTGGATAGACTGATGGGAGGACCGGTAGACTTAGTCGTAAACAAGAATGGGACTCATCAGAAACGTCCGTGCCGACGGGAGGCCCAATGGTCGGATCATCTGGCTTTGCGTTTATTGAAGTCGGTGGGCATAGGGAAAGTTTAGCGTCTCTCCTAGAGGGAGATATCGGAAGTTACTTGGACGCATTAGGGAATAGATCCACGCCCGGGGGTAGGGGGTGGTTTCCCCCGAATAGTCCTTTCTCTCCTGCCATGGACCCACTCCCTTCAGTTGACCGAAGCCCAGAGAAATAATTGAAGCCTCTTGGCTTCCTCCATCCCCTCGTGTGCAGCTTCATGGGCTGGGGCGGGGGGGTGGGAGGCGGCGCGACATAACCTTGGAGCAAGCGAAGGGGCCGTTCCTTCTTCAAAGTACGATGGCCTCCTGCAACCCCTTTTGTCAGGCTATCTTGTTCCTCTCATGTCTTCTTGACGAGGGCCATGTTATCCACCTCCCCTCGCACAGACACACACACGGGCACCTCCTTGATGATGAGGAGAATTATTAGTACTGTACAAGTGGAGGGGAAGAGGCGGCCAAGGTGGTCCCAGCGCCTTCAGAGGGAGACCTGCGAATCTAACGGGAGAAGGGGAGAAACCTTTTCTTCGTCCCGGGGATGACCGGGGGAAGGGAGGGGAGGGGTGGGTTGGTTGTCCTCCGCCCGTCTCTATCTTCCTCCATTTAAATTATTTGCAGCCACCAAGAGATAAGGTCCCCAGGGTAGGTACCCGTTTGGATGGCGGATGGCACCGAGAGGGCGTTATTGATTTCATATGGAGGATCGGGTGTCCCTGAATTTTCCCTTTGCCGCATTTCAAAGCGACGGGGTAGCTCGGAACGGAGTTGGCACCGCGAGAGTGACGGCATCGGCGGGCGGACGTACCCAAGAGAAGGGGGGGTCCCTCCTCTTGGATTCCCCCGGCCTCGCGGCGGCCGTCCTTTTCAGTCCGCTAGCCCTACGCACACACACGCGGAAGGCGCTATTGGACGACTGGATTGGTCCCGAAAATGATGGTGCATTCGAGGCCCTACATGATTTTTCTAGGTCACAGTGGGACAGCTCAACCAAAATGGAAGGCATGATGACCCGTGTCACTACGAGGCGCCGGCCATTGTTGGAGATGCCTCATCGCGGCGTGCATGCCTCTAGAATTGACTAGAGAATGAAGACGAGCTGCAGATGAAAGATCTGAGTCGTCCTTGGGCAATTCCGACGATGAGAAATAACTTGGGGTCTGGTCCTGGGAAAATTCCACCCCCAGGTAAGGACTATACCATCCTATCCCGTGGTAAAGACAATGGGAAAGGCGACCAAAACCCACTGTAATACTCGCCACCGACGGTCCGTATACATAGACGGCTTCAACCCACAGGCCGATTGATTCCCTTCTTGAGCATGCCTAAAAGTGGAATATAATGTGATATAATAATGAAATTTCCTAGATGTGGCCTCCACATACCGAAATCAAAAACAGTCCAATGCCGATCCTCTCCCCCCACCCTTTCTTAGAGACCATTATCTCGACATTGGAGGAGGGGCGGCGGCCCCTATGCCCTCAAAGCGACGCCAGACAGAAATAAAATATGTGCGCAGAACGATGAGCAGCAATTAATATTACAGGAACATTTTATTGAATAAGCGCCGGCCTTTCCTCTTGTTCCGACATGACAAAGCGCTCGCCCACGGCGATTCCAGACACTTACACCACAAAACTTTGCACACGTGCGTGTCGAGACCCAACTCCGACGTCAGCTTTCCAGTGGTTGGGGGCGGGGGGGATCGGAGTTGGTACCACCGGGCCCCCTCCTCGCTCTTTAAGACATGGACACTTGAATAGTGGACGATGACTTCGGACGGCGACCTTTCTCTCACACGTGTACGTACTCTAAGATTGAGTACGTATCTCGCCTGTTGTTCTCTGCCCCGGTACAGCATGGTCCCCTCTCAGAATCCTGGAGTTGTCTCCTCACAGTCGAAGATAACCGAAATATAGATGATCTCGAGAGCGGGAGGGAACGGGGGCGAGGGCCGATCATGTCTTCCGATCGACCCCCAGAAGAATTGGGGAGGGATTCTCTCCCTGGACCTCCTCTCCGATGTCTTCTGCCGGGATCTTCGATGGCGGCGGAGAAGAGTAGGAGCGGTCGTCCCGATTTAATACACAGGCGGCAGGCTTTTATCCCGTCTCAGGTGACGGTGGAGGGGGGTTTTCCCCGTTGGTCTGTCGGTGGGGAGCCCGAAAGGAGGAAAAGCAAGATCTTTCAGGGTCCCCTTGCGTAAGAAATCGCAACAAAGTTGTCAATCTTGATGAGATAACGTGGAGAGACAGCATATCGTTTCCTCGAATTAACGTCCAGAAGAGGGCACATCAAGCCGAGATCAGTCGCCCACTGAATCGAGCTCGGTTCTGTCATCGACACGCTGCAGCTACAGCCGTTGAAGTAGTCCAACGTCGTCTGAGGAATCTTGACGACCAAAAGAGTACATACTCAGCGGAGGCAAATCCCCCTCAATCCGGTGATTTCATTCAATTTCGATGCGAGCTGCATCAGATATGGTAACCTTTGCCTGTAAATGGATGGATATACCCAACACAGTGAATTATCGCACGAGACGACAACCTGGCGTTGATCGGGCTCAATGGAGACACCGCAGCCATCGGGCGGAGATTCCACGGGAGGGTGCCGACAATAGGAGTTCCTCGGGATGAGACACGTTCCCAGCAGTGCTGCATGGAGCGCCACCACCGTCGGAACGGGGGCTCCGCCCTATGATAGCGGCGGCGTCAGCGTCCACGTCGTCGAGACACGTGGGATCCGGTGGTGAAAATCCACGTCGCTGCGGACGTCGACGTGTTCGTCCTCGTTTGCCCCTCCGCGTAGGAGTGCCTCTCCGAGTGGAGGTCGTCTTTCATTTTCTTCCCTTTTTTGGGTAGAGGAAGGGAAGTGTTGACAGGGACTCCCCCGCCTCGAGAGATCCATCCTCTCCCCGAAAGGGCCGTCCTACCGGCTTGGTCAACTCGTGATAATCGGGGGAGGATCTTGGTAGGGTGGGGAGGGGTTGGGGGGTGGAGGAGGACTGGCCTTGTTGGTCCCCTTCCTTCCCCAACCAGCTGCTGCCACTGCGGCTGGCCTTCGATCCGCTAGCTCAGCGTGGTCGAATGGAGTGGCTGAGGATTTGGGGGAAGGGGGGGAGGGGCAGGGAGGGGCAGGAAGGGAGGGAGGGATGTCCCTGTATCTCTCCTTGTCCTCTACAGAGCTACCTTCGGCAGTATCCCACGGAACCCGCGGGGAATTAAGTCCTGAAAGCAACCCAGGCAAGGGAAAACGCAAGGATTTTGGCGAGCTCCTCCGCTCTCTCTCTGTTGCTCTCTGGCTCTCTTGGATATCCTTCCCATTGACCTAAGAGGTCCAAGAGGGGTGCAGTTCCGACGACCTGAGGCCCGCTCGGGCGCATGGTGTCGAGGGCTCTCATGGAGCTCACGGGCCACCGCTGCAGAGACGGTGCAGGTTGAACGTTGGGGTGGAGAAACGCTGGCCGCGCGCTAGCTCCCAGCAGCTTGCAAATGGAATAATCCGACGAACAATGACCGACGAGGAAGACGACGACGATCGCTGTACCTTTTGAATAATGATAAATTCCAGATTTTATTATTCTCTTCATCGTCTCCGTTTTATCTTGTCTTATGCGGATAATCATGCGCCCATGCATGAATTCAAAAGCTCCAGAGTGAATATTTTCCCTTAAAATGAGTAACTGTCGCATTAATCTCCACCCAAGTGAATAATATTATACGGTTTCTCCCCGAAAAATGGTCATCTCGTCAAACCATCCATCCTCGCTCCTCTGGAAACGATGGGCAGTGGAAAAATAATGAACAGTTGACCAATCTCTTGGTCCTTTCTTTCTTCCTATTTCAAGTTCCTGACGATTATACATTTATATATAAAAAGAGAGAGGTAGAGAGAGAGAGAGAGAGAGAGAGACGCATGCTTTGTCCGGAAGGTATTTAAGGTATTCGGAAGGCATAAACTCAGCTTTCTCCGTCGATGCGCTTTGCCAGCTTGCGGATAGTTTGACATTTATTTACTCAAGTACCCTTCAAGGTTCAGAGGACAAGACGCATAAGTGGAGGGTATTAGAGACATCTTACCCGAGAAAGGCGCTGGCATTAGGGCAGCTCGCTGACGTAGGTGATAGTCAAAGCCGTGAGATTCTTGGACTATGCGGGCCCCACCGCGCCCACATGGGCTGGCGCCAACGTGGGTCCCGATTGAGCCCTCTTCAGAGCAATGGCGATGAGGGAGCGCGGGAACCCCATATGTGGGCCCCACCAGAGAAAACGGGGCCATTGGCCGGGGGGGGGGGACCGTTCAGGAACGGGCAGCGAGGGTTGGCAGAATCGTACCGTCCATCCATGGGAGGAGACTATTGGCGACGATCCAACGGCGAGGGGGGAGAATCGGAGTTTAAAATTCCAGCCTCCCAAACGGGGAGGGGGGGGGGGTGGGCGTCCGCGCCCCCGTCCCGTTCTGTCCGGGATTCGGTGTGAGTCGCCCGATTTTAAAATCCGGCGGGCCGGATTATTCTACGAGCATCGGCTCGCGGCCCGAGCCGGTCGGCTCGAGGACAGCTAATCTCGGCTTGTCATCTACATAGAAAATACAAGGGATTGGGGGAATATACTTTTTAAAACAATCTGTATATACTTTTAAAGGCGTTTGCGGGGTTCCTTTTGGATTCTGGCGGGCCCTCCGCTGGAAAATTTTAAACTAGGAAAGAAAAAGTCCTAATAGAGGCACCGCAAAATCGCCCCATTATTCGGTTCTTCATTAATATCTATATATCTCTCTGATGGAGGAAATTGAGGGTCCGATTCCTGATCGTGCAGCTCTGAAAACTCCTCCCAATCATCATCGTTTTAATTTAATTCAATTTAATTTGGGGAGGCAGTTTGGAGATATAGCCGCATTTATTTGGCGAATTAGATTAGGGAGAGGGTCTCATCTCATCTGATCCGATGAGATCCGATATTTTTGTCCCTGATTGCCGCGTGTGGTCAGGTTGGTCAAGCCGGAGAGAGAGAGAAGGCCGTGTTGTTCGTGGGTCTGGCCGCTGCAGCGAATCAGATAGATCAAGCGAGTGAGGGAGAGGTGCTGATGTTCCGGATCTGGTTGTCCTTCGTGGGTCTGATCCATTCAGGGGACTGGAACTGGAACTGGAACTGAACGGGTTTAAAGAGAGCAAGAGAGAGAGAGAGAGAGAGAGTAATCTAATCTTCATGGGTCTTATCTCTCTTCCATGCAGGAAATTCAATGTGTTTAGTGAGCGAGAGAGAGAGAGAGAGAGAGGGAAGTGTCTGTGTTTGTTTTTTAAAGGGAGTAAATCTTCTCCTGAAAGGAGATAAAAGTCCCATATTGGGGAATGAAGGGAGAATGGGGGAAGAAAACGGGGAGGTGTGGAGGCCCACTGGCGGTGGAGTGGACCGGCGATTTTGAGAAACGTGATGAAACTGCCGCCCCTGGACTCGCTCCACCTCCCACCCTCCCCTCATTCGGACAAAGAAACAGGGAGTAGAGGAACGCAGAGAGGGAGAGGAACCCGCAGAAGAAATAGAGGAAGCGATAGGGGGGGAGAAGGCGAGGAGGAAGAGAAGAAGAAAAGAGAGCCCTTTTCAGCCCCCAATCAACACCCACTTGATCGTGACCTCTCTGTCTCTCTCTCTCTCCAGCCTACTTATTTTCTCACAGACCCCTCCCCTCTCTTCCCTACCCATCTCTTTCTTACATATTCCCCACTGGCTATAGCAGGGCCGCCCGCTCTCAGACCCACCCATTTCCACCGACGGCAGAGTTCTGCGGGCGGGGCGGCGCCGGCATTGCGCCTTGCTCTCGCCGAGCATGGGGAGGCACTCCTGTTGCTACAAGCAGAAGCTGAGGAAGGGACTCTGGTCGCCGGAGGAGGACGACAAGCTCCTCCGGCACATCACAAAGTACGGCCATGGCTGCTGGAGCTCCGTCCCCAAGCTCGCAGGTCAGCTTCCCCATTGCACCGCCGCCTGGTAATTCCGCTGGCGGAGGAGAGAGCTCATGAGGTCGTCCCTCTTCCTGCAGGTCTCCAGAGATGCGGGAAGAGCTGCAGGCTGCGGTGGATAAACTACCTGAGGCCTGATCTCAAGAGAGGTGCATTCTCCCAGCAGGAGGAGAACCGCATCATAGAGCTCCATGCCGTCCTCGGCAACAGGTATAATTCTCCTCTTCCTCTCTCTCTCTCTCTCTCTCTCTCTCTCTCTCTCTCTCTCCCTCTCTCTCTCTCTCCCTCCCTCCTTCCTTCCCCCTCCCGCCGTTGGGCTCAACCAGAGTTTCCTGGTTTCGTGGGTTCGGCCAGGTGGTCTCAGATTGCGGCACAGTTACCCGGGAGGACGGATAACGAAATCAAGAACCTGTGGAACTCCTGCATCAAGAAGAAGCTGAAGCAGAGGGGCATAGACCCCAATACCCACAAGCCGCTGGCAGAGGCCAACGCCGGAGGGAAGGTCCCCGCCGACAGTGGCAACACGGCGTCCGGCGACTCCTGCAACGTCGCTGGCCGGACCACCTCGGCCTCGGGGAATTCGAACCCCTCGGAGCGGGCGGCGCTCGTAGCGCCACCCGAGAGGCCACCGGCTGACACCGGCGGCGCCGCCATGACCTCTGCGAGGAGCTCCGCCAAGAGCTTATTTCTGGACGAAAACGTCCCCCCTTCTGGCTTCCGCCTGTCGGGCTCGGTGGGGTACTTCCCTCTGCAGCAATTCAGCTACATCTCCGAGTCCTGCGGCGGCGAGACAGCCGCCGGTGGGTTGTCGGTGGCTACCAACCCCCTCCTCTGGTTGACCCAGAAGAACACGAGGCCATTCGACGTCACCCCACAGATCAATTTCAGCTCTGTCTCCAACGTCATCCCCTCCTCCTTCTCCGAGGCGATGAGCCTCAGGTCTTCCATCAGTCTCCCTCCTGATCACGCCCCACAGGGGTTCCTCGGCACCGCCGGACCCCACTTTTGGGACGGCGGCGCCTCCAGCAACAGCAGCGGAAGCAGCAGCTCCCTCTTCGATGGCGGCAGCGGCGGCTTGTTCCGTCTGCCGGACCTGGCTCCCGACAGGGAGGTGATGATGCAAGTCGAACCAGAGCCGGAGGACCTCAAGTGGTCCGATTTCCTCCAGGGGGGTCTGCCCATGTCGGCGGCGGTCCAGGACCAGAACCACCACGACATGTACAGTGACCTGAAGGTAGAGAGCCAGTTCGGAATCGGCGGTCTCAGTTCTTGGCATCAAAGTCAGCAGCAGCAGCATCTCCTGCAGTCTTCGGAGGTTTATGATAAGGATTTCCAGAGAATATCCACTGCTTTCGGACATATTTAGCAGGGAGAAGTAAACATAGTGGCAATCTGGGAGAGAACCACACAGGAGAGAGAGAGAGAGAGAGAAAGAGGGAGAGAGAAATCCTTCCAACCCAGAAAATCTCGAATAAAGAAGGAAGGGACTCCGCAGAAAATTTTACAGGTGTTACCTCGTATATTTTCTTTTTCTTTTTCTTCTTTTCCCCGCCTCCTCCTCCCTCCCCCCTTCCTTGATGTACATAAATCGGGCCGATGGTGGTACGGAAAGAGAACAATCTCAGAACAACCTCAGTCAATCCGATGTAGATGGATTTCGGATGTCTCTGAATCAATACATAAGCTTGTTCCACTGATCTCTCCCTCTATCTCTATCTACTCTGTTTCATGAAATCTCTGATCTTGATTCTTCCGGGGGCTCTTTCACTTTCTGGTCTTTTCCAGCGGGGAATCCAATGGCTCACCGCCACGATCGCCGGCTTCCGAGACCCGGTAAGAAAGTTACGAGTTTTTCTTCTCCAGTCAATGTCTCCGGGAGATCCTTTCGTCGACAGGGTAAACGTCAAAAATTCCTCGAATTCGTCTACTGTTTCCTGCTTCTCCCGCCCACCAAACTACCTTCTTCCCTACCTTGGAGTTCTGAAGGTCCAGAGTTCTCCCTCCTGCGATCCCTGAGTATAACTATCCGTAGCATATGATACAGAAGCAAAAAGTGTGTGTGTGTGTGTGAGAGAGAGAGAGAGAGAGAGATAGAATATGATCAAACTCACGTTAACCCAGATTTTTATTAGGTTGGGTTCCGTAAAGTTTATAGTTTCAACTAAATGATAATCAGAATAGGTGAATCGTTCGTTTGAATCTATCAAAAAGAATAGAGCAGTCTGACCCGAGTAGGAAAATATACTACAGGCGGACTCGGCACTCCAACGTTCGGCTGCCTCGACGGAGCCACAGTCCCACAAATACAGGTCTCTCTCCTTCTTCCAATGAGAGTTAGTCGATCTGAGGGTTTCCAGGGCGAACACCGTGCTCTGGTGAGCTGTTTTGTGCTTCCCTCCCGCCTCGCCGTGGCGAAGGGCTTCTCCTCGATGGTGTTCAGGCTTCGGAGGAGAGGAGAGAGAAGACGAGGGGGAAGGAGGGAGAAGGCATTTAAAGGCCTGGGGTGGGGGACCGAGACGATAAGGGTTATTCTTCTACTACTGTCACTGCTGTGGAGGACCATGAGATCAAATGCCTCGCAGTCGAACTGCCATCGGAAGAGGACATAACAAGGGCAATTTATGGTCCATTCAACCTCGGAGTTCCTTCACGGGTTCATTCTCTCTCTCTCTGCATTAGGAATTCACGAGGAGAGGGGAGGAGAAGCTGATGATGAGACGACGAAGTCCGGCGATGGCGACGGGAGGGGAGACTCGACATGAAGGGATATAGGTTCAATGTGCAGGGCTGGGGACAAGTTTTTCAATGGCGGCGGGAAAGAGGAGAAGAAGGGGGAGGGGATGGAGGAGACCGGACTCTCATTCTTCCGTCCACGTGAGCTGCATTATTGGGTTCTTCATACCTCGTCCTCTGGCAGGCATTATGAGCATAAATAAGAAGACGGCCGCACACAACGAAGTCCCCGGTAAATAAGTATAATCTTCTCTCTCTCTCTCTCTCTCTCTCTCTCTCTCTCTCTCTCGATATATATATATATATCAAACTATAAATCTCTGTATACATGTGTATATATTAGAGCGTAGTACGCTCAATGATGCCGCCATTTGATGAAGAAGCTCTAGATTGATAACATACGATGGCTGGATCTAGTTGATCTTCACTCGACGTAAAACTCTCAGAATTGAGCAATGATGGGCGTGGGGACGCTTCAGCTTGCCCCCCACATGGGATGATGGGATTTGAGCTCGTGCCCCTCCCTGTGAATGACCCACAGAACCATATCTGGCAATGATGGGGTGCTTCTTCATATGACCCCCCCCCCCCCCTCTGTCTACCTGGTACTTCCCCCCACCGAACTTATCATCTTGCAGTGTGGTGGGCCGGATTCATCAGCGAGGTATAAAATATATATAGGTCATATGTTCGTCGTCCGATGGGGAGAGAGAGAGAGAGGGAGGGAGAGACAGAGAGACAGAGAGACAGAGAGAGCAATGAAACAGGAAACGGTGAATCTGGAATAAACTGTGGGGATCTCAGCTTGCCCCCTACATCACTCTCCCCGGCATTTTTGCGACCGCTTCTCCCTCCTGTTGCTTAAGAAGTCGTCCTTACAAAGAAAACGAGGAGACCAAGGTTTAAAAAGATTTGAGACCAAGGGGGGTACTTAAGTCAGCCATAAATACCAAATATCGAGGGTGAAATTGATCGATCTCATCTCTTAACAGAGAAAAGGCCTTGACATTCTTAAGATGACCTTTAGTCTCAATTATCATTGCGTAGCCCGGATCCCATCTAGATAAGGAGAAGAGCCAGGAAATGGGCTCCGGAGCAGCCGCCAATAATTCTCCTATTAAACATAGAGAGGGAGAGAGAGAGAGAGAGCACCCATGCATGAGTTCGACAAGTGGCAATATGAGACAGGCTCAGGAAAGTCCGGAGCCAGCCCAGACACCGGGCCGGGTCTATTTCCTTGTTGGACTTAATTATGAGGTAAAAGTCAGAAAAAAAAATCGCCGGAGTTTTGGACCTACCCGGCGTGTAAACATCTGAAAACCATTTGTCCCCATCTTTTTCAACACCGGGCCTTTTTTTGTTCGGATCCGCCTCATGGTAACTGATCTGTGTCACCTAAGACTAAAGAGAAGATTCCGCTTACTCGACGTCATTTCTCCTTTTGAGACAAGGGTAAGCTTTGAGGGTGTAGAGAGACATTTTAAGACGGGAGGAGGCCGTAAATGCTCTCTTTCTCTCTCGTCACTCCTCTCTCTCTCTCTCTCTATAACTCGTTTCGTCAAGCGGGTTGCCCATGCTCATTCTCCATCTTCGAAGATGACAATAGTTCCTATCGAGTGCCATCTTGATGAGATCGTTCGACCCACCCAGCTAAGTTGATACGGTCCGTCAGCGTCTCTCTTGACCCATCCGATCATCCAGAGTCCCACGACAAATCCAACACTCTGCACGACCTTCCCTCCTTTGCCATTATCCATGACAGTGGGTTTTGGTTCCTCCTCTAGTGGATAGAGAGAGAGAGAGAGAGAGAGAGAGAGAGAGAGGAGCAGAAGTAGTGGCGGGTTCCTTGACTTGGTCGTCATATCGAGTCTCGCCTACGCGAGTGGGAACGCATGCAGACAAGATCGCATCCGCCAGAGAACGACGACCTGACAGAGGAGATGGCCGTCCGTATTCGACCGAATATCGCAAACCGACTGTTGGGAGAATCGAGATGCTTGTAGAGACGGATAATCCAAACTATAGCCGAAGACAAGGGTCAACCTCATTTACTCCTCGAGCTGCCTCCCATATCAGACGTGAGAGAGAGAGAGAGAGAGAGAGAGAGAGAGAGAGAGGAGAGATTCGAACCTAACGAAAGAGGCAGAAGAGGCCGAAAGAAAGACAGAGCTGGTGCTCACCAGACAGAAGAAAAGCCCAAGCAGAATCAACACCCATGAGAAGACAAACTACGTAGGAAGGCCAGTAAGGCACGGTTCTTCTACTTCCAACTCCTCATCTCTTCCTTTTTATTCCTGTGCATGAGAATCCCCAGCGTCTTCCCCACCAGCCCCATCAATCCAAGGTGGCTGTGGTTCACATGTTGTCGCCGTTCACTGGGGTCAAGGAGGGAATAATGAAGGCTGGCCACCACCACCATGGCGAGGTTAACAAGCCCGAAGAGAGACGCATCAGTTCAGCTGAACATTGAAGGAAGACGTCGGCGTCACTCTTACTCTACGTGAAGGAGAATTCAAGAGGCCCATCTTCAGAAAACCACAGGAAACCAAGGTTGAGACTGACCAATGTGCCTATAAGGCTGTCGACTCTATCATCCTCATGCTTCTAAGGATATGTTTTCCCGCGGACCTACGCTTCGAGTTGCCGCAATAAATGTTTTAGTGAAGGTTTAGTGAATGGCCACGAGACTGCGAGAATGAAATAAGTAACGCTTGATAACCATGGAGGCGTAGGTGAGAGATGGTTGGCCACGTCCCATAGAATGGCCACTGACAGTAATTTCAAGCTTTGAATCAGATTTCCACGGGCTAATTGGAAGATCGAAGAGAAGAAAAACGACAATAATAACTAGACTAGTGCACGTGATGAGCAGAGATGGCAACAACAATAGTAATTGTCACGAATAATTGAAAATGCGAGTTTATCTGAATCTTCTAAGATGGGCTATTTTAATATCAACTAACAAGAATTATGATGATATGAAGATGGAAATTGAAAACATGAGCTTATATGAATATTTGAATATGGGGCTATTCTAGCATTGGTGGCAACTCATGGTTGCATCCCTTTGCTACAACAAGCCATGTAAATATCAAAATCATAAGGTTTCCTAGTTCTTATAAGTTCTAAGCCACTCTCAAATGATCCCATATATTTGAGAGAGCTTTATTATGTCAAGGGGAACCCTAAGCTTGTCAAGAAATGATTTTTCACATTTGTCTTCTTTCTCTCTCCTCTTAGACCTCTTGTCCTGACCATAGCTGACATTTAGATGGACTTAACTTAATCATGGTTTCACAACTACCCCCTAGTCCAAATAATTATTTTTCTTGGAGTTGAGTCAGGCTAGTTACCTTGTCAATAAAAATTAGTAAAGTTTTATTGATAGATTAATATCAAAATGTAATGAATAATATCACCACTTTTCATCAAAGATAAATAATAATAAAATCATTATACCTTGGATCTTGAATTATCGCAAGATATATTCACTAGAATTATTTATTCTAACTCAACATAGGGTATTTGAAAAGATATTGTCAATCACTTTGAATAATATAATGGGTATAGATTGTCTCAGTTACATTATGAATTAGTAAATAAAAGCACAATATGTTGAAATCTAAAGCTAAC